CCGGTGTGATGTCGCCTTCTGGATTTGTATCCTCCCTCCGAAAACGTGCCGCCTGGGCAGGCAGCACCGCTGGCACTGAATAAAACCGCTCTTTTCGGTCCGGTCCACCGGCGCTCTCATCTCCCGCTCCTTTCCTCCTCGCTTCGGGTCGCAGTGGCAACAGCACGGAGTCGTTAAAGAGTCGACTCGCAGGACTCCGCAATATTTGACGCGAACGCGCCGGCGTGGATCGCGCGGGAACTTCGAATTCGGAATTTGGAAATTGTTTTTTAACTTCACAAATACTGAATTCCCAAGTTTAGAATTTTGAGGATAATGTCCCGGTATTGTTTTCAATAGTTTCGGATAATAATAAATAAATAAAAAAAAAACGTTTAGCTTTTTTATTTTGGTGAAGGAAGAGAAGCGGAGCTGTTGCTGCGTACGTCGCCGCTTCTTCCGCACCCGGTCTTCTTTCGCCGAAGACAGGGCACGCGCCCAACCCATCGTGAATCCATACCGCAACTGATAAGAGCGTAGGAAACAGCGCGCAAAAGAGACGAGGACGAAGAAGAAACATACGTGACGAGCGCTGAGCTCGTCACGTGTGTTTCTTCTTCGTTGTCGTCTGTTTTGCGCGCTTTTCCTACGATGAATAGGAGGCATTCACTGGACGCCATATTTGAGGGTGATGTTTAGAGCGCATGCTCAGAACGAGCTCACATTAATAGCCTGCTAAGACCGGCAACCTTGATAGTGCTCAATGCACGCTCCAAAAGGACTGCGGAAGCTCGCCGTCAGCACGCGCTCAGCAGCAGCGCACACAGATATGGCCGCCAGTGAATACTCCCTATTCCCACCAACTCGTCCAACTCTCCATTCTTCCATGATAGTGGGAAAGGTTGCCGTCATCTATGAGCGACGGTGGCTTCCAGACTGATTGTCTGGTTGCCGCCGTCGCTTACAGATGGCGGTAGCTGTCCAGAGGTTTTAGGAGGTTTGTGTCGACATTTGTTTGGTACCGGACGCGATCCTGGGTAGCCTAGCCCTTAACAGCTCCGCTGTAAAAAAATATGATTTTGATGTTTCAGTGCCCCTTTAAAGTACTTCCCAACATTGCTTGTTTATTATTTTTTTCTGTAAAAAATGAAAGACGTTTACAAATAATGCGAAATTAGAGCGCAGCTCTTGAGTAGGGGGAGGGTAGGGAGGGGAGGGTATGCCCCTTCTCTCCCTCCCCCTGATCCTCGTCCTCCTTTCCTCCTCCTCCTCACCACTCTTCCTCCTCTCCTCTACTCCTTCTTTCTTCCTCCTCCTCCACCCCCTCCTTCGTACCTTCCCCTCTTCCTCCGTACCCTCGCCTCCTACCACAGTTTTCCCACTAAATTTAGCTGCAAAATTGACTCCACGTGACCTCAACAGCAATTCAATTTTCCGCTAAATTTCGCGGGGAATTAAATTGCTGTTTAGTTCACGTGACGTAAATTTTCCCGCGAAATCTAAAGGAGAAACTTTATTTGTTCATTGGTGATGTGACAGTCATTAGACACTAAATTTAGCGGACGAATTGAATTGCTGTTGAGGTCACGAGACGCCCATTTTCCCGCTAAATCTAGCGTAGAAACTGATTTTGTTCATTTGGTGACGGTACACGAAGTCATGTGACGTCATTTTCCCTGCTATATTTTGCGGCGAAGTGAATTTGTGTTGAGGTCACGAGAAGCCAATTTCCTCGCTAAATTTCCCGCGGTTACGCCGACGCCGCGAAACCGGGAAACGGGCGCCTAAGTGTTGTGCTCTAAAAATTGAAAGAAGTTTAGAAATTGAAAGAAGTAATTCGAAATTAGAGCGCATTTCTTGACTTTTTTTTTATTCTGCCATACACAATGACGGGAGGGTACAGAGGAGGAGGAGGGGAGGGTACAGAGGACCCTCCCTTCCTCCTTCTTCATAACCTTCCCTGCTCCCTGTTTCCCCTCTACATTTAACTGGAAAAGTAACGCCACGTGGCTTCAACACCAATTCTGTTTCCCCGCTAAATTTACCGGGGAAAATGATGTCACATTATTTCGTGTCACGTCACCTATGAACAAATTCAGTTTCTCCGCCAGATTTAGCGGGAAAACAGACGTCATGTGACCTCAACACCAATTCATGTCCCTGCTAAATTTAGCGGGGAAACTGAATTGGTGTTGGGACCATGGAGCGCTAAATTTAGCGGGAAAACTGAATGCACAGTGTTGCGCTATAGGACGTCACAGACACCGGTTCAAATTCTGCGCTAAGTTTAGCGGGGAATTGAATTGGTGTATGTCTGTGACGTCCCATAATGCAATGCGCGCGGTTACGCCAACGCCAACGCCGACGGCGACGGCGACGCCTCAAGACACGGGAACGAGCGCCTAAGAGTTGCGCTCTAAAACACTGGAGGAATTACTAAGGTTCCTCGAACGATCTTCGAATCGTCGAGTACCTGCATAAAAGGCAACGCAAAAAGGCAATCTTTTCGTTGCCCTTTAGCACGCGATTTTTCGGGTACAGCACACACTATGGGAGCAGCAGATGAGTTTCAGAGCAGGTGCTGCATCTTGTGGCCTCCCTCGAGTGAGGGTGCAGTGCGTGCACCTCTTGTAGTGGACGAGGATTTCTATTTGGGGAGAAACGGGGACCAGCCCTTTCTTCAAATGAATCGAGTCTCCTTGAGCTACGGCACACAAAGAAACGCCAGTCTTCGGCGCTAATACCGCAGTTACTCGGCTTCACTTGCAGCGTGTCTGTCCGCTCACCAGGGCCTCGTAGTATAATTGTTAGAGGGGGGGGCTCGTGAAAATTTAAAGGAGTTTCGGACCCTCCGAACCACTCCCCACCCGTCCCATTCCTACGCCACATGCTCCCCCCTCTTTGCAAATATCTGCTGGTCTTCCAACATCTTATCTTTTTTAGTGCCGGAATGTTTGTTGACAAGCAAACCCACGACTAAAATTCAAAAGTAATTTGTAATTTGAGTAGAAGTTACTCTGAAAAAGTAATTTGAGTAAACTCCTAATTACAAAAAAAAATGAAAGTCGTTTACAAATATTTGTAATGCGAAACTAGAGCGCAGCTCTTGAGGAGGAGGAGGGAAGTGTACGGAGGGGAGGGTATGTCCCTCCTTCTCCTCCGTACCCTCCCCTCATTCTCCTCTCCTTCACTTCCCTCCTCCTCCTTTCCTCCTCCTCTCCTCCTGCTGCTGAATTTTTCATGGGTGACCTGACACGAAATCGTGACGTCATTTTCCCCGCTAAATTTGGTGGGGAAAATTATTTGGTGTCGAGGTCACTTGACGTCAATTTCCCCGGTAAATTTAGCGGGGATATTTTTCCGCTTAAATTAGCGGGGAAACGTCCCATAATGCAACGTGCGCGGTTACGCCGACGCCGGCGCTGCTCAACCCGGAAACGGGTGCCTAAGAGCTGCCCTCTAAAAATGTAATTGAAAGTTAGTGACTACTCAAAAAAGTAGTTATACTGCAGTAACTTGAGTAGAGAAGTTGGACTACGTACAAGTCCGGAAAATGGCGACTGCGTAAAGCAAGGCCAGAGGAGGGGATGTAGGCATACGCAGAAGCTTCCTGGAAAAATATCTATTGCAATAACTGCTTTCTTTTTCCTTTTTTTTACAATTTTGAGATTGTCACCAAAGAGGCACTCGTGCACTGGATGTCTGGAAATCTGAAGCAGAGAGAGAAAAAAAAAAAAGAAAAATTGGCGCTCCAATCCACGCTGCGAAGGTGGTTAGTCAGCGGAGCTCTGATATCCCTTGCAACGATTGCCTGCTGCACTATACGAAATGCCACCGCCGGTCGCAGCACGCCGCCGCTGGTCGTATTGCCGATTCTTTTCCCTTTGCCGCTCCAAGAATTCACGCTACTCCTCGGGAGTCCTAACGATGCGTGACCTATTTATCCCGGTGCTGCAGCAACAATCAAATCAGTAGCCATATAGTCCGTTTCATCTTCGGTTGAAGCGCAGCGGACGTTACGAGCCATCGGAGCCAATCGGAGGCCGTGGGAGTGTCACGTGACCTTAGAGAGGGGCCACAGCGACGCGCGGAAAGCGTATCACGGGCCACGTCCGCAGAACGGGATTGGCTAAGAGAGCTGGTAGCATCCGCTGCGTTCGGACGTAAGGTGAAACGGGGTATTAGGCGGGTTCTTCTTTTATATATAAAAGGCTAGTGACGTCACTCCCCACGTTGCAAGCTGCCGTCGCCGCGGTAGCTTGGGCAACAGTAATCTTTACCGAGAAATGTATGCGGTGAGCGCTACATGCTTCGCATTGTTTTCAGGAGCTCCTTATCATTCATTATATGGTTAGGATGCTTGTTTTGTGCTTATTCTTTATTGAGACGAATGTTGTGCTGTATCTGGTATGCATGTTGCTTGTACTTTTCGCTTCAATCTTTTGAAGTATTTTTTTTCGTGAGAATGCCAACACGAAAACACGTGTGGAGATGGAACGTGCTTCGCATTGTTCGCAGGCGCCGTTATTATTCATTATGAGGTTTGTACTTTACACGAGGGCTTCGAATGACGTCAACCCCTTTCGAAGCAGCTCCAAACCTAATCTTTACCGGAACGCGTGGACGGGTGTTCCTATTGTTCACACGCGCCTTATCATCCATCATGTGGTTTTGACGCTTGTTTTGTGGTTTTCTTTATTGAAACAGATACCGAGCTGTATGCTGTATGCCTGATTTCAAAGGAGATATGCTGTTTTGCCATCATTTGATCACCGAGAGATTTTTTTTTGTTTTTTTGCTTACGACACACAAATTTCCGTGGCTAATAGGGGTATACAGCTTCGATGTAAAATGCAGTGGTCTTAGAAAGACGGACAGGCACCGGTGTGGTGTTCGTGCCAACCGCATTGCGCAGGACGCGCTGCAAGATGAAGCGACGTCCTCTCCTGGTGCTCGGCTCTGGCGGCTCCAGCGCTGCCTACAGTCCGGCGGACCGCGCAAATTGAAAACAACCAGCCTCGTTTGGTGGTCAACCACGGCTTTTTAATGCTTTCTTTTAAAACAAAAACGTCCGGCACACTCTTTTCGAAAGTGAAGGGGGGAGAGAGAAAGTGTTGACGCACATTTCCGTTGCAGCCACGAGTGGTAAGCGCAGACGGCACGTTTGTTTTAGGTCGGCGGATGCACGCCATCGAGCGGGAAGGCGGGAGTGTATTGCTGTTGGCGCGCCTCGCCGCGAGAGAGCGCTCGGACACGGCGAGTCGCCCGGGTGTATAGGCTATGCTGGAGAAGGAAGAAACCCAAAGGGCCCAACAGCGGCTTGGGGAGCTGCTGTCAGGGAATCGGCGAACAGGAGCTAACGCCCTCTCCGGAATATGGAATACCGGCGAATTCTGGTCGTCCGGAGTTTTTGGGTGGTCGCTCCAGGGCAGCATAAAGCGCGCTCAGCCCAGAGTACGCGTCATGACGTTCGAGTCGAAGCTGAACCGGGGCCGTTCACCAGCAAGCTTCAGAGTAACGCGCGATACTTAACGCGACGTGGACCAAAAAGAAAACACCCTCGTCTCGAGAAGGAGACATAGGCGAGACGGTGACCGCCGAGTTTCGCCAGGCCGGACCTAAATGCGTTGGCAGTGTTGAAACGGGCACGCGGTCGCCTTTCCGGTGTTCTTGTGGAGCGATGCACGACCGCAGCGCAGTCGTCGTTCGTGCCGGAACGTTCTCAGAACTCCGACAATCGTGCCAGGCTAGCTCACGTGAAAGATCAAGTGCACACGTGCGTTTCTCTCGACGACTTCGGGCAGGTTCGTACATTTTGTGTCGGTTGCGTTCACACAGCAACTGGAACGACAGCAACGAGTCGGCGGGACAACGGCGTCGCGTGGCCATGCGAGGAGTCGCTGCACGAATCAGTCTCCAAAGCGCTGAGTTGAAAGCGACACATTCGACCCGTCTACTCCTTAAAGTCAGTTACCAAGGGGCATATCAAGCACGACGTCGTGCGGGCTCTCTCATTTGTTGCTCCAGTTTCTGTTAACGTAACCAAATCCAGGGTTGTTCCTTGGAGTCGATTGCGTTTACATCATCTGAAACGACAGCGACCACAGAAGGGTCACGAGAACCACGTGCGCCGTTCACCACAGTTAATCAATCTACAAAATCGTCCGTGATTGGTCAGTCGCACGCGACGTGACCGACCCCTTGGCTCCGTGAGCTGGTTGCCAGGCTACAAAGGGAGCGTCCCCGTCCCCCTGTCGCTGCTGTCGTTCCGGTTGCTATCCAAACCAGCCTTGATCCAGATGTCCAAACCAGCCTTTAGAAGCCTCGCGTCGCATAAAAGGCAGCAAAACGTAGCTTGCATCGAGCTGGCTGACTCGCGACGCCAGCGCGCCCAGACTGACCAAGGAGATGCAAGAAGCGCAGCGCCGTTCCGCGAGTCCCATGCGATGAAGTGCACTTGTTGCGCACCGGGCCATCTGAAGATGCGCTCACACCGAACTATGTACACACGCATACCATCACATGCACGCAGGACGAGCGCGGAGCCACGAGAAAACAAAACGCAACGTGTGCCACGCAAGCACACGCACGCGAACAGACACGCAGGCACAGAGTACCGTGTGCACTTCTAGAGTGGGAGTATAAGCTTGGTAGAGGATAAAAAAGAAATATGAAAAATGCGCCGCAACCCATGGGTGCCCTCGGATAAAACGCGGGAACTCCATTCAACATTTAAGCGCATTTAGTTTTTCGAGACCGAGTTATCCCGATGAAACAACATCAGCGTGAATGTACTTCCGATTACATGTCATTTCTCGTTGTTCGACATGAACCTTGAGTGAACTCGCTTAAACATCTCCCGCGTTTAAAACTTTTGTTGCGAAGACCGAAACAAAAGGAAGACACAGCGAGATGTCGCCCTGTCACCGTGAAGGACACTGTCCTCAAAGGCAACCTGAACGAGCAGCACACTCCAGCCGTGTACGGCTCTCGAAAGGCGTGCGCGAAAGTTATTCGACGGGGCTGTCCTTTCGGGGCACGAACCAACTGCGGGGGCGGCGCCATGCATAAAGCGGGGGCAAAATATGACGTCGGGGAGATTCGACAGGCACTGCAAAGTTGCGTAACAGATTTGAACGGTCTCGCCCAATGATACCTGGCTCTCCGGAATCGCTCAAGATTGTGCGCAGTTCACATGCTGCAACGACGGCACCGCCCCAACAGCCTCGCGTGGCCGGACGCAGGAACGCGTGCCGAGTTCTGCAACGCTATGATTGGCCACCGCTGCGCAAGTCGAGATTCCAAGTAATGTGTCCTAGAGTCGCGACGTGTGTACAACTACGGGTCCCGGCTGTTCCGCCGCTGTTTTGTGTAAGCTCGGAATTCGCCCGACGGACGTGGTTTCGCTCGGCGGTTCGCACAACCAGGCGCGAGCTTTACAACCTCGGGTATGCTGATATGTGCGCTCGTGCTTTTAGGAGTATTCTTCAAACATGCTAAAGGGACGCCACAGCTAACCTAAGGGCGCGCCGACGCTGGCTCGCTCGAGTCGAAGCTGGGGTTGGCAGGCAAGCTGTTGCGGGCACGGCCAGCGCAGCATGCCCGTACAAGTACGCCCGTCGCGAGGGCGCAGGAACTGTCGCGAGCGAACGTTATCTGGGAGTCGCGTCGCTTCGCTTTGTGTCGCCGGCCGAGCAGCCCTCGTGGAGAAGGGGAGTCTTCGAGGTTATTTAGATCGGAAGAGCCTCAAAACGGCGTGTGTAGCTTTTGACACCATCTACACGTTGCCCTAGAGGAACATCGTCACATTGAATTGTATGGATCGGAACGAAACATAATTTGTACAGTCTAAGACATTTAGAAACCAAGTATCTCACAGAGGCACGATGCTTTCTATGGTAAGAGTTGTTCACAGAAAGGACTAAAAACATACCCGAATGTACATGAACATCGAAAGCTTTACCCCGTAGAAACATGCAATATTTACACGCAGTAATAAAATCAAACATCAATATTTTCCTCGTGTGTTCAGCTGTAACAGAAATGCGATGGAAAGATTATGACTCGAAATCAACAAAGAGGAACATTATACAACATTCGCACGTGCCAGGAGTCGAAGCTGCCCGGCTTTATGAGAAGGAATGGAACGCAGCAGGGGAGGTCGCTCCCGCGGGACTCCTTGGGCAAAAAAGAGGACGACCACCTGTCACTGGCTGCCAAAAAAACGCAGGCATCCTTTTTGGCACCGTGAAGGCACGTAAACGATGTGCGAACGAGACGCTCGTGTAGGCAGCTGAAGGAGCACAGTGCAGGCGACGCTTTCAGCAAAGAGCACACTTCGCGGAGAAGGAACTTCCTGCCAAGCACTCGCGACAAACGTCCAATGAGCCAGTTCACGGGGATTCCCTGGACACAAGGCCAGACGATGCTTCATCCCGGGGCCCCGGCGGGAAGCCTTCGTCACGAGTCCTTTTCCTGCGTCGGAGAAAAGCAGACTCTTGGAGGGCGGGGCACGTCGACAAGGTCCAAAAGTATATGCCTGAACTTCTCCGAACGATTAGAACAACACATATATCTGTGTTTATTTTACTTAAATAACATATATTCAAGTTTTAAGCTTTTATAAGATTATTTCTTTTATAAGAAAAAATGCACTTGGCTGAGCTAAAAACAACCCAACAACGAAGAAGTTTTCCAAGCACGGCTGAAGTCTGCAGGGGAACGTAGTTCAGAAAGGGCCGAAATCAAATGGGATAAACTGCAAGGAAAGGGCACATATTTAAATTGGTCAGTACGAGTTAAAAAGGTCGCAAGTTAATGTTTACAGGCATTTCTGGTTAGTCTTAAGGACGAAAAGAAAACGAAGGGGCTAGCGTTAGCCCCAAAGATTAGCGTGTAGCTCCGATAGAAACCCAAAATATAGCACCGCAACTAACGGCATCTAACGGAGGCATTGCGAAGCTGCCCGAGTTGTTGACGCAAAAGTACCATTTTGGACTTAAAACAAACGGAACATAACTTTTCTCGTCGGTACTGTTATTAAAGATCATTAGGCAATTATTTGTGCGAGGTACTTCGATAAAATCTAGACGCAAAACTATAAGGTCACGTCTCTAGTGGTCAAAAATGTGCAACATGGCGGTGGCCAATTAGAGGTCACTTTCAGCTGCCAGTTTATCGCTCTAAGGCGCTCTACCTCGTTGCGTTGGACGCTAGGCTTACGCCTATCCCGCTGGGAAAACAAGAACTCGCTCAGCGCTTCCGAAAGCGTGTACCGTATTTTCCGGGCTATATAGTCCGCGGACAATACATGTTTAAAAGTTGAAATTTCTGGCTGTGCGGACTATCTACGCGTGCGGACTATACAGGAATTGTGTTTTTCAAGATCGTTTATTATGACGAGACGAATTTTGTGCACGAAAGTGTATGTTAATGATGATTTATGCGCATTATAGGCTTTATTGTGAGCTAAAAAGCAAACATTTGTAAACGTGTGCCGTCTATGAGAAGATGTTCGTGTCGACTAAGCACCAGGTGCGGACTATGCACCGGGTGCGGGCTATGCACCGGGTGCGGGCTATGCACCGGGTGCGGGCTATGCACCGGGTGCGGACTATCTAAGCAAAATCTTTTATTTTTGACCCGAAATTTCTCTCTGCGGACTATACACCGGGTGCGGACTATACACCGGAAAATACGGTATACTTGCGACAGTCGCTTATTGCAAACTACGTCGGCCGAAATCTTCCTCTGAATATCTCGGTAAACGCGAAATCACTCGCACGCCTAAAAAAAAATGTTATAAGCTCGAGTGCGAAGCGGAGGAGACGATTTAGTGATTAACATTGAGGAAAAAAACGAGAAGGGACGGACAAATACAAAAGCCCGTGTCCGTCCCTTCTCGTTTTCTTCCTCAAGTTTAATTATTCATACCAACCCGCTCGTTCTGTCCTTAGATTTAGTGATATCCTCGAAAACAATATTGAATCTATATATGTATTTTTGTTCCTCAAACATAACAATATATCGAATAAAACACTACCGCGGCACGAACAAACATTCCGCATGTCAATACAGGGCGTGCGCGTCACTTCCGGCCGCCGTGAGAGGGATACTTCCGGTTCTCCTATGTTTACCCTCTCCTTAGGCGGTTGCGCGACGACGCCTTGTGAACTAGGGAGCGATTCCGTGAGAGCCAAGCTCTAAAAATGCCTGGCTAGTGCATTGCATGGTGGTCTCGTCGAAGAACCGGGTTCTTGCACGATACCATAATGGAACGCACTACTGGTTTGTAAATCTGACCGGAACCCGCCGGAATCCATATTGCAGTCATTCGTCGCTGTTATGCTATGTTTTGTGTGTTTTGGGGCTGTTTTTGCACTGTAGTTTGTCCGCTACTCGAGGTTTAAAATGGTCCGTTGCGCCATAATTAAATGTTCCAAGCCGTAAAAGTCGGCGTCAACGGAGCTACAGCTGCAGCAGTGTTTTTTCTACAATTCCAGCAATCATTGGGAACCGGGACAAGGCGACGCTCGAGCAGTCGGTTCGTCGACGTTATGAGTGCTTCCGACGGATACGTCGGCACAACCTCGACCAGGCGGGTAAAGACGGGAGCAGAACGCGGCAAATTCTGAGCGCTAACATCTCCGGTCCCGAGAAAAAAAAAAAACTGGAAATAAGCTATAAAATAGCAGAGGAAGAAAGCAGACGAAAGGCAAGGCCTGTTCGTATTGCCGCGACAAGTTGAAGTTGCTCCAGCTCTTGTCAACTTTATTTAATTTTGTCAGTGCGCAATTCCGGTGTTATTCTGCTAAGTGAGAAAATAATAAGGTACAGACCTTGCAGGTGACGAGTTGCTTGTTTGTGCATAGCAAAACGTCGTCAGTGATATGGGCTCATAGGAACCGCCAACTATTGGACTACCGATGTCCGCTTCCCGCCGTTCCGAAGCGGCCAAATGCTTGGAACCTTTTGCTCTAGGTTATTATATTAACTCTATGATCTCCACAAAAATAAGCTACAAGAGCAAGCTCCGGGCTTTCCGCGTCCCTGCCAAGCCCGCGAGCTCGTGCAGTGCAAGCACTGTTCAGGGCCACATGCTCGCGCTTGTAGCTTCGGCCTCGCTTGCCCAAAGGTAAAACGGAGTAGAGAGCAGCGTATCTCGCGCGATTTCTCGCTAGGAAACTTGTCGTCGTGCGCCCAAACAAGCACAAGGTAAACATGGGAGCACCGGAAGTATTCCTCTCCCCGTGTCATGGCGGCCAGAAGTGGCGCGAACACCCTGTATACACGTAACATATCTTTTATATAGTAGCTTGTACGTGCCACTGGAAACAGTTTTATAAACACTAATAGGCCGTAGCGAGCGTTTTCCTCCGATGCCTTAAACCGAAATTAAAACGAAATCGAAACTAACACCACGGGAGACCGAACAACCTGCGGGTTCATATACAGGCCTGAAACCCGGCCCCCTAGGCTCTAGCATTTCCGTTCGTTATGGGCGGGGCCTAGAGCAGTGCTATCTTTACCCAAAGTGCGTCTGGCGGCATAACTATTGCGCTACATTTCCTTATCCCCCTCCTTCGTTATGCTCCCCCTTTGAAGCGGAGAAGGAAAATTCTTCAACCTTAAACCGTCAGCGCGCAATAATGAGAGCTTTAGCAGATAGATTTCTCACTTCCATTCTTATACACGCAAACGATACAAAGCATGCGTAAAAGCGCAGGTATCGGGAATCGTTATAGGGGTCAAAGAACAATCTATTAACCCCCCCCCCCCCCCCCCAAAAAAAAAAAAAAAACAACAAAAAAAAAAACAAGGTGCCATTTTTTAGCTGTGTGATTGAGCGTCCTTATCCGCAAAAGCTGCAATCTCATTAACCGAGGAACGATTATTCGGGTGCTCCAAACTGTCGATGCCCTCTCAGCGGCCATAATGGTTGAGGGCATGGTTTTGCGGCTCCTCCGCAATGCATGGCGAATTCGCGAGCAAACGGTCGCATGCACGCGATCAGGTAAAATGATTTGATTCGACTAAATAAAGGCATCGTGTTTGTTTTGCTTCAGCTCCGTTTAGGCGACTTTGGCAGCTGCCCTTTAGCGTCGTATGACTGACTGCTTAAGGGCACAGGGTAAGTCCTATATACTCCCCATGCATTTGAGGCCATGTTGAGGAACATTTTTCTCGGTGACTATTAGGAGTATTCCTGTCATGTAGATATCATTTTGTTCGAAATATTGTGTTTTATCCACTGAACTAGAATTATCTGAACCAATCTAAAATAAGTTTTTTTTTTATATTTTTTTATTCTAGTACTGAAATTTTAGTTGTTTTCATCTATTAAAAACTTCGTAACTCAAAAACTGCTAGGTGCACATTTTTAATTTTAGTTCAGTATTTTTGAACACCCATGTATGTGGTAGGAATAAAAAATCAACCCTCTATAATGTCAGGTTAAGGAAAAAATGGTACCTATGTACTAAAAAACACTGTTTTGAGATAATTGAGTTTAAAGTAAAAAAACTGGTGATTAACGAATTTCTATTGGCACCAACAGCCTCAGAGTCATTTTTTCAATAGCCGCCAGCTTGAAAGGCATTGCTAAAGCCATGTCTTCGCCTTTAGGCTTATCGCCTTGCTTGCCGGGCCTCTTTTGTGACCTGCCATGTCGCTTGGTCCGTAAAGTATATTCGAGTGACGTCAACTTCCCTCAGCCACTTGATGGTTTTCCACACAGGGTTCCATCCACAAAACTTCAAAACATTGGCTTGTGCAATGCTGCCACCATTGAATAAAGGAAAAGCTTTCAATGGCGCCATTTTGTCGTTACGAAAACACAAACGCTTGAATGTACACACGGTACACACCTGGGAAAAACGTGCACAGCGTCTCGTGATTGTCTTGGTTGAAAAAAAGCTATGCAATAGTTGCGAAATAATTTTTTGAGATTATCTGTTACTGGACAAGCTTTTAGGTCTCGTGTTGATTTTGTTTTGTTGGAGAATTCATCGATAAACAGGGAGTGTATCCCAAAAGGAGGCGTGGTCACCTGCTACTTGCTTTCGGAAGAAGTGATTTTCAGCCCGAAATATAGCTTTCTAAAAACACTGGGACAATGGAAAATGTGCAGAAAGAACTAAACTTTTCAAATTGCGAAAAAAACTAAAATCGAATTTTTTTTCAATTTTACCTTACCCTGTGCCCTTAAGGAAGGCGTTCTCTTGTTCGGGGAATGGCGCAACTCAATCGGCTGCGAAGCGATCATCAGATGCCCGTCACTGTCAATAGAAATGGCCGAGGAGTCTCACTTTTTGTTCCACGGGTTCCTTGGCGCACGTCCCGTTGACCCGCTGCAGGGCTTCATCAGCTTCAGCGATGCTCTTCACACGGCTTTCATTCTGTAATAGGGCATGAATTCGTACGCTGAATCATCCACTCCGAACACATAGTCACCGGTCTAATCTTCCAACGTCCTGGAACCCTCGGAGTCACAGGCGACGCTTTGCTTCTCAAACTCCGAACAAGAAACGTCCGGGGCAAGAAACGTTTCTATTCAAGTTCATCCTACCAGCTTCGATCGCCGACGTGTTTTAATCGGGTACGGTAGTCAACAAACGCTAAAACCGGGTTTTTTTTGTTTGATAAAAGTAGCGAAAGTTTTCTCTTTTCCTAAATTTCCAGTGAATTACACAAACGCATTGATACATAAAGAAAAAGAGAAAAAAATTCATGCGGCATACGATGAGCTTGCTTCCATTTCTGTTTTCATTCTTTTGTGTAGCAGCTCGAACTGAAAATCCTACTATGAAAACAAATAAGAATATAAAAGAACCAGTTTGTGGTTGGGGAAGGGCTTCGGTGAGCCCAAATGAAAACCGCGTGGGGTTTGGCTCCTTTTGGCATTATGAAGCTCTCACTCTCACTGAGTTGCTTAAACTCCTTCCATTTGGAAAAATATCAGCATATTTTTCATAAGCCTTTCTGTTCAATTTGTTATCCCTTGTGCAATTAAAGTGACAGAAAACACCATATCTTTATATAAAAGAACCACTAGGGAATATATTTTGACCGTGTAGGCTATAGTGCCTGTCGTTAAATGAAGCAGCTGGCGTCTGAACAGCACTATCTTAAGGGTTACTGCGCAGGCAAGCTGGTGAAGGATCAACACGTTGGTACTAGCACCGGCGCTTTTCCGTCACATTTCCGGGGCCCTCAGAGTTCATCAACGATACGATCGAAATATGACAAAACTTAAATCGTCTATTTCCAGCATCAGTACCACAAAATTATTTTCCCACTAAAAGAAAACCGTCGGTTCCGTCTGCAAGAGAATTTGGGCGTTTATTCTTGAGATTGTATGGCCTTCGGCACATGACACCGATCGCTCTCTTCACTACTTGAAAAGACCAGTGACTGCGGTTCTAGCCGCATTGCGGTGCAATATGCAACACGTGACTTCTGCGAGCGTACTGCGCGTCCGAAGCGCGGAACTTGGGCGGCCTACCTCCTGCTGGATCCTCTGGACAAGGCGCTTTTTTTCGAGCCGCAGAGCATGAGCTTGCTGCTTGGTGCGCTCGTCCCCGAGTCCCTGCTCCTCAAGCAGCGCCAGGTGGGCGTCCTTCTCACTGATGGACGCCGACAGAGCCTCCAACCTGCGAGATGACACACACCCCGTGTCCCCGCTTTGAATGCGCCAACGAATGAATGCCGTACGGCCCTTTAAATCGGGTAACCACTTGTGCCACCCAGCCGGCGTTTTAAATATCAACCTCTACCGGATGCTACATAAAACATCCAGGTTAATCTTCCGTTCAACCAGTTGACGGGAAAAGAAAAAAGAGAATATTTATCCTCCGCTCAACTAATGCCACCAAACAGATAACCGCTATCTGGTTATCTCTGCCTTCCCAAGGTCTGTGTTACCCCGGCTGTCCTTCAAACCAGTGCCTTTACAAGTTCAGTCTTGCCTGTACGGCAACTGCAGAATGACGCCCTTTACAACAAAGTATCGAACGTTCAGTCGTCTCCTTAATCTCCACGCCATCCACAGACTGTATCTTCCTAATATTTCGCTCTATATCGTTGTTTTCAATACTGTCGCCCTAGCCTCAAACAACATATATGTCACCAATGCTATATGCCTCCAGATCTGATTTAGCAACCCTGCTTGCATTGCATATGTCTCCCTTTGCTGTTTTAACTATCGTTTTAACTTGTGTTACCTGATCTGCGTCCCCATAAGAGTCAAAAACTTTCGATTTATATTTTCTACTTTGCACACTCCATCTTGTATCCATACTCTTCATGCACAAAAGACTTTCCTGCAAAGCGTCCCTAATTCATTTCTTTCAGTTCACCTCCAAGATCCCTCTTACTCCTAGCTTCCCTGCTTCGGAGTGAGGAACAGCTCATGTCGGTTTGTGCCCCTTGGTTCGGTGTTTTACCATGTGCTCCTAAGATGGTCTACCCACCCCGCATCGCTTTACTTCCTATCCTGCTTGAATATCAGGTGTCATACACACAACTGCATTCCCCAAAGTCAAACTGGGCATCATAACTCTCTTTGGAATCCCCCTCAACAATTTATATATGGTTCCGCGATGCTATAGTATTCATTAAAGTTGAATTTCGTTTATACATACCAATTTTTCATTTCGCATGTTCACTTAGCCATCCTGTAGCCCCGTGAAACCCTTAGGTATGTACTTGTACACATGGGCTCTCAGAATCGTTGAGCCTGGAGGGGAGCGCTCACTTCATGTCGTAGAGCTCCTCGAGATGCTTCTTGCGCTCTGCCCAGAGCGCCTGGTGCTTTCGCCCCACGTCCTGGAGTTGCAGCCTCAGGTCGGGGCAGCTGGTGCAGCGTGCATTGTGGCCGCTCTGCAGCCCTCGCAGCTCTGCCTCAAGTTTGCACATCTGGAGAGACAGTCACCCCAGTGTAAGACAAGGGAAGAATTCGTCATATTCAAATGCTGTAACGTAGCCATCAATCCTTTTTTCATTTGGGAAAGGGGCAGGGGGAGGGATGTCCATGACGTGGAGCTGCGGGGAGGTGGGGGGGGGGGGGGGGGGGGCGCTGAAGCCCCATAGCTCCTCCCCCCCCTTTTTTTTTTGGCTACGCCACTGATCATATGGTCTCTTCGCTATCGGCTTCCCATCGCGGGCGTTCTGTATCCCAACTCGTATCGACAGCTCTGAATGTTGACTAAGATATGCTTCGCTAAGAAGCAAACCTCCCACTTTAGCAACGAACGTGGCGTCACGTGACGTCATGGTATCACGTGACACCCTGACGTCTGTCACGCGACTTGACATCGCGAGACGTGGACACGTGGCTTGAGGGCGTGAAGTCACGTGACACCATGGCGTCATGTGACCTAATATCGCGACATGTCAATTTTCCCCTTGACTTTAATGGGCAAATGAATAAATAATATGTGTTCCATTCCTCGAAACGAGTGTATGACGTCTTCTGAGCAAACTTAAAGGATCGCTCTTTAAATAGAGCATTCTGTTCGCAGACAAAGGGCGCTGCCAGTTTTCTCCTTTTTGCTTCCAATTGTTTGCTTGGCTTCTTATCTATTGTGGGTAGGCCTTGTTCTTTTCTGATCCCTCTCGTATAACTCGCGACAACGATTGCTCTTCGTCGTAACTGCCATTGCTGTTTCTTTCTCTAGTCCGTGTAACCTACAAGGGTGGCAAAAGCCTGTTAACATTTTGGGGATTTCTTCTTTTTTTTTTTTTTAGTTAGTGTAAATAAAACATCAAATGCAATCAAACAATTAAAATTTAGGCCCCACGAATGATACAGGTAGGTACTAGGACATTTTTACAGAAGTACCGTGTCAATGTAAAAGTCTGGTTTACCTAATTTGCAAATAGACCTACCCTATCAGAAGTTCCCGAGTAAAACCTGCACCGTGCAATGTACGGGAAGCGCTAGTCGTCGATTTTCCCTTAATTAGCTGAAGCAATGAGATAAGTTGTCAGTGTCTTGCTGCAATCAAAATCCAGTCTCAGTGGCAAAATGGGCGGCCACCCTTTTGCCACTAAAAGTGCGTGGCCGTTGGGATGCAGTATCACTCGCCTCCCTCATTGACTGAGCTCGTTAAAAAGAAGCTAAAGGGACTATTGAAAAAAAAAAGTTAGGGAAATATTATTCAGTATTGTTATCCCGTAGGAATTTGAATATTACGTCCGTTTTCCCTGAAGATGTAACTAAACAGAGAAAACACGAAAAACTTCCTACCAGTCGTTTCGTCAGGCTAGGGTCTTTCGGTCGACAAGCGCGTGTCGTTCGTGTGGGCAGCGCGCGCAATAGACCTATTGCTAAATTACCCAAGCATCAAGGAGAATGCAGGGAATTTGTGTTCCACGCGTCGCACGTGCTGGCCTCACCAGTAGCAACTTTTCTAAAGCAAAAACCTATAACAAATGGCATCTTGCACGCGAGTTCGTCAACGCTTTATTTTGGTTATTTACTTCGAAACTTTAATATGGGAAAGGCGTGCGGCGTGTGGCGGGTGGAACACCAATCCCTGCATACTCCTTGATGCTTGGGTAATAGAGCAATATGTCGATTGCAAGCTTGCCAGTTATGTTCCCCCGCACTGAAACTAGTCGTGACGTCTTTTTCTGCCCCTTTTGTAAATAGCAAGAGTACACGTGCGTAGCTTTGATGGGCGCTGAAGATGAGCGAGAGCGGAGATGCCGAAAACTCCTAACATGACGTCACGCTCTGGGAAGGAGGGCCTTCAGCGCTACTTTGCAAATGGCTTTTGCAGCCTCCGTGTCCCAAACTGAAAAATAATCACAATATATTCGTGATGCTGGAGGCCAAATTTAAGTGTTTCTCCTCAAATACAGAACCGCTTCAGTTCCCCCTTCAAGGAAGCCCACTGAGAGTTGTTTCGGGTGCATAGCTGTTTCGTTGCATGATGGGAGTTCCGAGGGCTCGTCTCCGTCGGCCCCGCGGCCTCGGGGCACGCACCTTGGCGTGGGCGGCTTGCAGCAGCGCCTCTTGGCGCACTACTTGCGCCTCGCTCTCGGCCGTGATGTCGACGCTCTCTCGGAGGGCCTCCTCGAGTGCCTCGATGCGCTCCTGCTGCTGCTCCAACTGCTCCTGGTCGGTTCAGCAGAGCGTGTGCAAACAAGGCAGAACCAGAAGCCTCGCAGAACACAACTCAAACGGTTAACGCAGAAAAGCAAAGTAAAAACAAGGGTAAAAACGTATCCCCCTGGTCAAATGTTCCGTGGCATCGCCACAGCGAGGGAAGGGGGCCACAAGCGTAACCCCCTTCCCGTGAGTCTATCCGCGTGTTCGTGTAGGGCTGTATGTGTGTGTGCTGCATCAGTATACGGAAACGTGGAAGATTCAAGACGTACACACTCCGTCGCCTCGTTCGTAGTTACATTACAAAACGGCACCGTGAGTGCGATGAAAAGAGCAACGGCTTATGCAACACTTCGCATATAGTTATCGGCGGCAAAGTAACAACGGTATTTAGCACACGTCTAAAACGAAACCTCTCGTTTTATTTAAGGCAGTATAGTTAGCTTGCGCGATAGTGGCTGCTCCTCCTCTCCAACGTGCGCGTGTGGACGCTCAGAAATAAATAAAAAAAGAAAAAGAAAAAGAAAAAAAAAAACAACGGAAATTGCCCACAAGCGGCGATTGCACACAACCAACTGCGGGTGCGCCGCCGGGCACACCCGCCTCGAGTAAAGCGACATGTAATGAGTGATTTGTGGTTTAGAACAAAACGTGCACCACATAGCAACAAAGGAGTGGAAACATTAGAAAAAGCTGGAGAAGAAGCTGGCAGGACCGGGTGGCTGCAACAAGAGGAATCCGAAGCGGGAACTGTCAGGCGCAGAGTCGATGCATTGTTTCCCGGGCAGACAAGCACTGTTGGGCGGTTGGCGATCATTCAGTAAGGAAGCTTGGGACACCAGGGCACAAATAAGCACATGTTTCAGGCCCCAGGTTAGTGCCACAAAATCTCCTGTGCGTAACAGGACAGGGTACTTACTTTTACACATCTATCAGGGAGGAAACCCAAATGGCATTAGAGCTTAAGGCTACAACACTTGAGCTTACTAAATATGGATGTCTTGCTGCAGCGTGAGATGTTAGAACACCAATAGTGAGAAGGATGATGAGCAGTAGAAAGATAAAGTGACTAAAATCGCAAGCGCTCGTCATGTCTTTTTCTTTCACTCGGTTCTGTCCTTCGCACTGTGTGTGATTTTAACATTAATAGTAATTTGCTGATAATAATTTATACAAATTTAATATTTATAATAACCAACTCGCCTTTCGGATCATTTAAAAAAAATTGCACGCTGCCCAATAGGTAGCGTGAGTGTGTTTGAATGATCTTCACCTGAACTGATTGGTGTTAGGTAGCTGCTAAGAATTCTAGAATCTTAAGTAGTTCAAACTATAATGAGTGTCCTCTCTTTACTGAAAAAGGTATTCCTTCTAGCTCCTTTTTGTTTTGTGAACGAAGGTGATGCTTTTAAGAAAGCGTAGGATGATTTCAGTTCGTGGGCGGTTGATATTTTTAATTCACATAATATACTGATGTCATTGGCTGTTGCCCAGGATAAATAAATCTAAAATTATTTGCACCTAGAAAAAGAATCTCTGGCACGAAGCTCCTAGATATTAGAGTCCTTCACAGAGTTGCCTTCGAATGCGACTGCAGCTACTTGCGCCTCGTTAAAACTGCTTGCGTCTAGCTCTTGCTATGGCGACACTTACGACGAGCCAATGGGGAAGCGCTGTGCAGCACGACACAACGCAACGCAAAGCAGTCGACGCAACTGTCACACTAGCCTGCATCCCCGGTTTTGTCAGCTTTGATCCTTAATAACGTCATCAATGATTTTAGAATAAATTTAATAATGTTCAGGCACAATATGTCGATATGAATATCTTTCTTCTGCACATACATTGGGATCTACAAATAACCCGCATCTCGGGAACACCTCAGGGTAGATGGAACCCGGAGCAGGCAGCACTTTCTCCCATTGACATTCCCTTATATGTTTGGCTCTGTACTTCGCCACATGTCCCCGGACATAGACGACGGATGCAGGAGGGCGCAAAGCTAGCCGTCCCGTCACCCCCCCAACTCATCCTTCCAAACACAAACCACAGCTTATGATGATGAGTCCGCCTCCGAGACAGGAGCCACGGTAATAGCGGCATACCCAATCTACACACCACAATCCCCAACCTCCAGGTTTGCACCCACATCTACAGAGCAGCCTGCCCCTTTCTTCCCCCCCCTCCCTAATGTCATCACACTACAATTAGTTCCCTTCATACATCCTATCCAAGATTTCGTCCAACTGCCTCGCACATAAGCTGTACGATCTATACGGACTCACAGGCTGCCCGCGCCTCCAGATATCCAAGTAGACCTCCAGGCGGCTTTACACACACTCCACCCATCCTCGGTCTCCTCTCAGTAGGTCCCAGGTCATGCAGGGATCGCTGGTAATGAGCTGGTCCATCAACTCGCCCGCGAAATGCTTATCCGGGCGTCTGTGATCCTCATGATCTAGCCCCCCCGACCAGCGATGAGGCTTTAATCAACAAACGCTTAATTAAATCAATTAAAACGTCTGTGTTAGTTTCAATTATATTACTTGAATCTCACACAGCAGTGTAGTTAAAAGGAAAATCTAGTGGTCCGATGTTCCTTTTGGCCTAGAGTTGTTTTTGTTTGAGCAAGAAATTTATACAAGGATTTTAAATTATTCTGAAGGGGAGTTTACCTCTTTTTGCAGCTAGAATAGCTGAAATCTTGTCCCATATATTTCAATTTAAAGTTCGTAGACTTTTCTTCGAGTAAAAGTTTTTTTTCTTTTTTTTTAAGTTTACATCGCAACACTAAAAGGATAAAACTGTTGTGTCCTGCGTCCCATGCCTGCCACAAAGTATAAAGCTTCTAATTATCCAGTAGTCTCCTAATGAAAACTGGGTTGTAGATACATTGGTCTGGCAAATGTATTCCCTTTGTTTGCTTATAAACAAGTCACATATCACATCAACTTATTTGTGTTCCGCAGCAATCAGTTCGACGAAGACTCTAAACATCTGTCCTGGTAAAAAAAACATATTCATCTCTCATGGCATCTGCTGTGGCATCTGCTTTTAAGTAAGCCTGGTCAATAACGCAACCTCATATATAAATATTATGTGTGAATGCAAGCAGTTCAGAGAGATTCTTGTGAAGAGCTACGTGCATCTATACCACAAATCAAGCTCAAATTATGGTAGACCTCACCTATGAAATGCTGCGAATGAAATTATCCTGTGTATCCATACAAAACATTCTTGACACAAGACACCACGTGCGCGGCACGTCGACTTGGTGTTGAAGCGCAAGCATAGCAGTTTGAAGACGGCACAAATGTTTCGACTGAAATGTACTACACATCCCGGCACGGCCACACTAGTGTGTCAATCTTCACAAACGTCGAGAAGTCATTGTTAAAGAATAGGTCCACACTACAAACTGCGTTGAAAGATGTTTTCAAACAAAACGTTCCTACTAAAACATAACATGTTTCATAGCGCAGGTCGACCTGTGGCGGTGCCAGCCGCCGCCACCGGCCGCCAGGAGCATGGCCTTCCCTCTCCACCATCTTTACATACCGAGTCGCCAGCGCTGAGGCCTTTCTAATCTAGGAGGTGATGATTCACCCCATTCCTCCCTAACGCCGTCCCACTTCCTGGAATGCCTGGCTAGCGTCGGAACCACTAGAAGATCAAACGACCATGGCATATCAAGCCAGGGTAATTCTGAGCACTTAATTTGTGTTGTTTAATAAAGTGCATTCTCTCTCCCTCCCCGCTACACGCGCTCCGAGCTGTGGAACATTGATACACTCAGTCACATCCCCCTTCCCCGGATGGGAAGCGATGCCGACTTCCAGTTTTATAAAACGAACACAAGTTCCTTGCGTCTTGTTCCAGTGAGTTTGCAAACCAGCCATTGGCGCTGGTTGACTCCACTGTTTAGTAAACGGCAATTTCTCACTCTCCCTCAAGCGGTCCGTCTAGCCCACCAGAATATTTCAGTAGATACTAAAATGTCCCGGTAAGCTAGCTGGATATACATTAGGGACTTTTATCAAACCGTTGCCGTGTTCCGCGTACCGCACTACCAGAGTCTTTGAAGCGTGCTCTTAAGTGCGCCCCCGGGTGATACCGTGACCACGGGGCGCGCGCTTAAAAGCATGCTTCAAAGGCTCTAGGAGTGTGGTACGCTGAACACGGTAACGGTTTGCTAAAAGCCTCTATCGCAAACACGAATAACCGAACGAACAGGGACAGAAAGCAGAAGCAGGGTTCTTCTAGTTGTGCTTGTACTTTGCGCCATAGTTTTGCCGTTCATATTTTATAGTTTTGCCACTCATAAGGTTCGGAAAAGCCTCCACCTTGGCTATGTTCTTGGCGCGACCTGGAGCTCTGTGAGCACTTCAGCAACAGAGCGGAGCGTGTATGTATGCCGTGCACACCAACGAGCGGCCCTGACGTCACGCCACTGCGCCGTTGTCGGCAAGGCGTATGTGGAGATGCGTCTCTGGTTTTTGCGCACGCGCAGTGCCCACACCCGGGAAAGGCTGACTTGTTCGTAAAAGGCGGTCAAGTTGCAGCCCGAGCGGAAGGCCCCGTTCGTACCAAACCTGCAGCAAGTGGCGCTGTTAGACGCTGCTCACTTGAGCTTTGGAGGCGTCCCTGCCGAGGTCTCCCTCCCGTCTGCGGGCTTCGTCGAGCATCTGGGCGCTACGTGTCTTGTCAGCCTGCGTGTTGCGCTTGAGACTGCTCAGCTTGGCATCCCGCTCCCTCAGGGCTCTGCAGCACAAAGACGAGCCTTCGGACTCGCTATCGATTGACAATAGCCGCGTGACATGCCTGCTGCACATCCTCACATGTCCAAGAAAGTGGAACCACAAGTTGCCGGACCCTGAAACTTCTCTTTGACTTTCTGCCATTGTTTTAGTAAAAAGTAAGGTGTGCAGGATGTTTTCAATACTCGCTCTAAAACAGACCGAAGATCAATAAGCACGGGCACGCGCCGATCTCAAACTTCCATCCAAGGTGTCTTCTGGTAGGTCGTTACACATCGGAAGTCAGCAAGCACGAGAAAGTTTTGCGAAGTACGAGCGCGAGTCGAACTTACTCCTGGAGCTCCTTGATCTGTGCGTTGAGGTTGAACTTCTCCTCCTCAAGGGAGGACATGATCTGGAGCAGACGCTCCAGCTCCGCCTCGTTGGCTCCGCCTCCCGCTCCGCCTCCCTGCCTCGTCTCCAGGTCGGCGCAGCGCATCTTCATCTCCGCCAGCTGACGCACCAACTCCTGCTCCGTGTCCGAGCTCCCCACCTGCCAACGCAATCCGAGCCGGCGCTTTAAAGCCTCACGTCTGTCATTAATGTCGTCGACGACGTCAAAAGGGACCTCGAGGCATACGAGTCTTCAAACAAAAGCAAGAGGAACAAACTACAACGAGACGTTTCAACAAAACTTACTTCGACACGCGCATGATTTATTACACCGTAACAGATGTTGCGTAACTACAAAAAAATCAATAGTAAATGCAAGAAAGTCAGTTGTCTATTGGTGCAGCTCGCCAACAACAAACGAAATCTACGGCAAACATGGCGGCGCCCGGCGTCGGCATGACATTGACGTAGGGCGATCCTGCCAGATTGTGCAACTTCTGTTCGACTTGAAACATCCCAACTATGAAATAACGTCCTCCCGAGTCCCACCGCCCCCTACCAAGCAAAATGCAAAATCTCTCAACGGGCAACTGGATGCGCGACACTGACGGTCGCGGGCAGGGGAGGGGGGGGGGGGGGGGCATGACGTCATCAATTTTGGCGGAAGGAAACCCACAAAACGAAAGGTCGTATTTACTGCTGAAGCTATTCAAACTAAAGAAAATGTGCGAGCGAGTTGGTTCATTACTGACGTGATAACACAGGAGCGGGGGAAAACGGGACGGAAGCTGGAAACTCAGCTGAAGTTTTATTAGGCCGAATCCTTCTTAAATAGCCACGCGAAGCGCCACCTACATATAGCGTTTGAGACAAAGTTCAAAGGGTAACGAGTAAACGAGACGTGTGGGACTCACTTTCTGTAGGGCAGCTTCAGCTTCTTCCAATTTCTCTTTCTTCTTTTTCAGCCGCTTCTCGAACTCGTCTAGAGACTTCTGCCTCTCGTCGAGTCGCTTCTTGAGGGCCTCCAGCTCTGCATCCTGCTTCGGGTTGCCCTGGCCGGCCCTGGCCCGAAGGCTCTGGATCTCAGTCTGCCCCCCAGGCGCAAATAAAGCGTTAGCATTACAGAAACATTGTTGCATAACAAAGTCACTTTGCATTCAACGCAGGGTAAACACGAAGTTGGTTCTTGCAGGTTCAGACTATAGTTAACATAAAAACAAAATATAACTAAGGGCTCAGCATGCACTACGAACCTTGTCTGAGCGACGAAAGGTGCCTAAGTACAACGACAGCAACAATAACAAAAACATACGAAAACATACGATGGTGCCTTCAAGCAAAAATGGAAAGATCAGGCTCAACCTGAAACAGAACCAGTGCAGAAACCAAGACGTGCTCTACATAACAGCTTGCAAAGGCCACCGTAGTCTGTCGGTGCAAACGAACCAAAGTCTTCTAGTGAGGCCTCATAAACCTAGGGCTGTAAAAGGAGAACCAAGGCGTAAAAAAGCATCTCGAGGAGCGAGCAGGCAGTAACGTGCTGTCTCTTGAGTCGCCTCACTGACCTCCCTCTTTTCGATCTCTTGGACCAGCTTCTCAAGTTGCTCCTGGAAACGGTCCCTTTCCACGGCAGAATTCTTGACCTCCGCTCGAGCCTTGTCCAACTGTTTCCTTAGCTTCTGGGCCTCTTCCCGCTGGCTCTCCATCTCCACTTGCATCCGGTCAAGTTCCCTCTGCAGCTTTTCCTTCTCCCCGTTCTTAAGTCCCGTTTCTGCCTTCTGCTGAAGCTGTTGCTGGTGCGCCAGTTGTTGTTGCTGTAATTGCTGTTGCTGCTGCTGTTCCTTTTGCTTCAGCGCCCGGTTAGCCTCTTTCAGTTTGCTGCTCTCTGCCCTGCACTCTTCAGCCTGCTTCTGTAGCTGTGTGGCTGCCTCCAGAGCCTTATCCAACTTTGCCCTGAGCTCGCGGTTTTCGGCTTCCAGCTTTTGCAAATGCTGGTTGGTCTTTTTGGTCTCTTTCTGGAGTTGCTGAAGCTCGTGCTGCTGCCGCTCCATCTCTGCTTTAGAGTGGGCTTCTTCCTGAGCCCGCATTGCAGCATCGCTCCCGCTGCGCCGTTGCAACTCGCCCACGAGTTCTTGTACTTCAACTTCAAGTTTGTTTCGATCCTGAGTCGTCTTGCGCAGTTCCTCCTGGACGATTTCGAGGCTTTCTTGTAACCTCTTTACCTCCGCGCGAAGGCTTTCTTGCTGGCCGCGCTCCTTCTGCGTGCTCTCCTGAACACTCGTGATGTACCTCTCTGCGTCTTCAACGTCTTGCTTGAGGCGTTCCACTTCCATCTGCAAGCGGCTGTTCTCGCCAACAGTCTTTTGAAGGTCTTCTTCTGATCGACCTAGGAGGTGTCTCAAGCGATCTGCCTCCGCACTGCTTTTTTGACGGTCACCCTCACTTGCTGATTGAAGCGAATCCAGCGTGGCCTGGGCCCTATTGAGGTCAGCGAGCAAAACGTCCCTTTCTTGGGTAAGCTTTTCAGCCCTTTCGCGCCATCGTTGGCACTCAACGGCCATCTTCTCCGCTTCCTCTTTGTTGCGGTCTTCAGTAACACTAGATACCTTCTGAAGTTCGATCTGAGTGGCCTCTAGTGTCCTGCGTAGACGCTCATTTTCGGCCTGTTGCTGCGCGCGAGCCTCTTGCTGCTTCTTGAGCTCGGCCCGTGCTCCTTCGTACTTGTCTTTCGCCTTCTCAACCTCGATGAAGAGGCGCTCCATTTCGGCAGCGTGAGCCTGTCGCTCCTCTTGCGTAACGCCCTTCTCAGCGCGCACACGGTCTAGCTCGGTCTTCAGTCGCGCGGCTTCATCACTCTGCTTTGTGAGTTCAGCCAACGTCTTCTCATACTTGTCCCTCATCTTCTCGACATCTATGCGCAGCCTCTCGACATCTGCCTGAGACTTGTCCTGAACGTTATGGTACTTGGCCATCTGAGCCTGGTAGCGATCCAGCTCGGCCTGTTGGCTCTCCTTCTCCGACTGAAGCCTATCCTTCTCGTTCTGGGTTTTACGCAGTTCCGTCTGGGCCCTGTCTAACTTCTCGTAAAGCTTCTCGAGCTCCACCTGCATCCTAGCCAGTTCTTCCTGGGACTTCTCGTGATGAGTCTGTGTCTTGCCCACCTGCGTCTGGATACGGTCCATGTCGAGAGACATTCGGTCTACCTCTGCCTGCAGCCGGTCTCGCTCCGTCTGAAGCCGGCGCGCTTCCAGCTGGGCTTTATCGAGCCTATCACGTGCTACCTCCAGTTCCACCTGGCATCGGTCCAAGTCTTGACGACATTTGTCCTCAGCTTCTTTGGTCTTGGCCAGTTGGGCGTTAGTGCGCACGTACAGGTCTTGCAGCCCCTCAAACTCCTCTTGGGAGCGCTTCTGATCGTCTTTTGTTTTAGCCAGTAGTACCTGACACTTGTCCAGCTCGAGGGCCAGTCTATCGGCTTCGGCCTGGCCCTGATCCCAGCGAGCCTGCGCCTTGAAGCTCTCTGCCTGTGCTCGGTCCAGCTTCTCGCGCAACTTGTCCTGCTCCAGGTGACATAGCTCGCGCTCCTCCTGGGCCTTCTGCAGCTGGATCTGCAGCTTGTCGGCCCGGTCCCTCGCCGCCCGCAGCTCCGCCTGTGCAGCGTCCGACTCGGCACGTCCGCGCTCAGCCTGCAGCGTCGCCTTGTCATGCCGGTCACGCATCACCTCAAATTCAGCCTGAACGTTCTCTCGTTCCTTGTGCGCCTTAGCCAGTTGGCTTTGAAGTAGGTCCATCCGGTCCCTGAGGGCGTCCGCATCTGCCTGAACCGCATCGCGCTCCTTGTGCAGTCGCTGCTGGAGCGCCTGGGCGCGGTCCAGCTTCTCACGAGCCTGTTCCAGTTCGGCCTGGAAAGTGTCGCGCTCCTTGAGGGACCTCTGCGCCTGCAGTTGCGCTTGTGCCAGCTGTCCCTGTAGACTCTGCAACTCGTCCTGGCAGCGCTCTCGCTCGGCGGCCAGCCGACGCGTCTCGGCAGCAGCCTTGTCCACCTTCTCCTGGAGACGGTCGCCATCCAGCTGGGCTCGGTCCAGCGCGGCCTGCAGTTTCTCCTGCACCGTCTGGGCCTTCACTAGTGCTCCCTGTACGCGTTCCAAGTCGGCGCGTAGGGCCTCAACTTCCGCCTGTGCCGCGTCCCGATCCGCCTGTCCGCGAGCCACGGATCCCTGCACGCGGTCGTACTCCTCCTGTAGCGCCTCTCGCTCGGCTTGGGCGTTCTCCAGCTTGGCCTTGAGCCGATACACCTCGCCCTGGGATCGCTCGAGCTTCTCCTGAAGCTGCTCCTGCTCACCGCGGCCCCGATCCTGCTCGGCTTGGGTCATCCGCAGCTCAGCCTGCGCGCGGCGCAGCTCGGCCTGGCAGCGGTCCAGCTTCTCCTGCAGTCGGTCGTCCTGTGGGTATTGCTGCTGCAGCGCCGCCCCCGCCCGGTAGCTGGTCGTTATAGACGCCGAAGTGGCGGCCAGCGGCTGCTCCAGGCGACCCACGTGCTCGCGGAACCGGTCGTTTTCGAGCGAGAGACGCGCGTGCTCGCCCCGGAGTCTCTCCCAGTCTGCCGACGAGCGGCTCACCTCGGTCTGGATCTTGTCCAGTTCGGCACGAGCCTGGCCCAGCTCGGACTGCGAGTTCTCGAGGCGGGCCTCGAGTCGGTCCTTCTCCGCGCTCGCCTTGTCCAGGCGGCCCTGCAGCTTGTCCATCTCGCTCTCCAGGGCGTGCATCTTCATCCTGTATTCTGCCAGCTGCCGCTCGTGCAGGTCTCTCTCCTCGTTGCGCTCTTGCTCGGCGCGGTCCCGCTGCTCGCGTAGCTGCACGATCTGCTTGTCCTTGTCGCCGATCGCCTCCTCCAAGCTGGACAGGGCCCCCTCGGATGTCGAGTGGTGTGCCTGGATGGCCGACAGCCGAGCTCGCGCCATGTCCACCTGGTTGTCCTTCTCCTTGAGCAGGTCCTCCAGGTTCTCGATCTGCGCGGCAAGAAAACTGCTTCGTTCAGACGATCGCGCCACTGCGCTAGCAATTTGCACTTGATTTAAAAAGAGATTTAACCACTGTGAGCCTTTTTATGCGATATACATTTTTGAAAGATATCCTTATGTTCTTTTCTATCTTCGATTTATTTCGGGGGGAACTTTTAACTGGATCAAGCTAGCTTCGAAACAGACGAGTCAAAACATGCTTCTCGACGTGCACCTTTCTCTGGAGGACGTTGATCTTGCGATCCTTGATGTCCATGTGATCCCGGATCTCCTGAAGCTCCTGGCTCAGATGATTCCGCTCTTGTGTCGCAGTCAGAGCCTGTTGAGTCTTCTTTTCGATCAATTTGTTTTTCTCCTCCAGTCTCTGCCGCAATTCTTCCACCTGTAGCAATGCACAAAAATCAATTTAAGATATTGTCTGGCGCATAAGCAACGCGACTAAGCATGTGCAAATGGTCAACACTATAGTTCCTGAGAGCATTCCCAGCACCAGCATTCAAGAAAGGGCGTAACTATTAACCTAAAATAACCTAAAGTGCTGTAAAGAGAAATGAGCGAATATACTTATCCCAAAGAGAAACTCGCAAACGGAAAACCATTGAGAAAAGGCTCTTGGGCCGGCTCGCTAAAAGCAGTGTCTCAACCAAGACTGCGTAAAGAATGCAGTGCCAAAGCCAGCGCACGGGCGGAGTGGCGCTTGAAACGAGAAGGGGAAAGACACGGGCACTGACGTCTGCCTGGAGCATGTTGTAGTGCTCCTCCTTGGCGCAGAGGGATTCCTTGAGCACGGCTATGTGCCGCTGGTAGTCGTGGTGCTGTTCTTCGAGCGTTTTCATCTTGGCGCCCGTGGCCAGCAGCTCCTGGTCACGCTTGTTCAACTCCACGCGAAGCTCGTCGAGCTGCAACCAAGGGAGAAGGGCCTTCTTGTCACGCGACTCATGCCAGGTGGCCCCTTCTAAAACACAAAATGCAAAGCCTCAACCCTACGGCCTCACGAGCATTTGAAGTGAAATCCTGCCCCACGTACATGGTGTTCTTTGGTTTCGCGCGGAGACCTTCTTTTCACAAGGCCATTACCCTGATTCTTGTAATATCAGGACATTGAGAATCTAACATTCGCTAGATGTGGCACCGCGCTGAGGATTATCTGCTCTTCCGATCAAGTAATTGGTTTCAAATCCTAGATAAGTGCCCGAGGATGCCATGTGATACGAAAGAAAATAAGAGTGACTAAGACGGAAAGCAGGTCCAGTGGTCCGCACCTGGTTATGGGACAGAATACCCTCATTCTAGTTGAGCCTACTTCCCTTTGCGCTCTTAGTGGTCCCTGTGTGTATACTCCCTCACAGTATAGTCGGATATCAGTAATTGACCTTCCTTAAAGTAGTTTAGCCACTTAAGCGAACGATGGGTACCATGCACTAATGATAGAGTTTATGTGGCAAGTGGGATGAACGCTATCTGGGCCACTGGGACCGCATGACCTATATACTGATCGCCCATCTCATTGGCGAATCTGATGAAACGAATGCCGTGATTGATGTTCCATGTGAAACTAAGGCCAGTATTACACGCAGGATCTTTCGAGAATGTATGGCCAGCATAGAAAGAAAATACCATAAAGTGACTCTCTCAATCTCGTTTAAAGGGACCATGAAGGCAATATAATTTTTTTAAAAAAAGATGGTGTTTTCAGAACCATTGGGGTCCTGGCATGCCACACAATCTTTTCTAGAACGTTGTGACTCTTATTTCTGTACCTGCAAATAAATTTGCGAAACCGAAACAAACATTCAGATTTCTTCCCTTTTTCGCCCCTGGAAAGAGAAAAGACGTCAGGGAGCACTGTCAGCATCGGTAGGATTTATGCACACTCAGTGTGGTTCCCGTGGTTCGCTGTAGTGCACGGCGGTCTGTGAAGAAAACCTGGAAGAAATGGACGACAACGCCGCGCTCGCAAACGAGTTTGAGCTCCCGTTCAGCGACCTCACGCCGACTGAACGGGAGATGATGTGGTGTGGGCTCCTTGCGCAAGGAAAGTGAGGGAATAGCGTCTTTCCTCAGACGCGGGAACTTCGTGTTTTTACCCAGACTCCGGCTGACGTGAAGGTGCTGCTCAAAGTCTTTTGGTCGGAAATGCAACGAACAAATCCTGACACCGCTGTCCACAGCTCTACGCAAGACGACGGCCCGCAACCAAATGCTGCGCATTGCTGCATCGGTCGGCAGTTTATGCTGTGGTCCTCCTTAGGGCCACTGCCTTTGGGAGTTCCACGTTCGCGGCGAGACGCTCTACCGCGAAGCGGGTTCGTACTCGCGTGGCATGCTGCTCGTCGAGCGCAAACAGACACCAGTCACGTTGGTAACGGTGATAAACTGTTTATTTACAATGAAACAAATAACAACAACACAGCGGCTATAAGCTGGTGAACGCCGTCGGTGTGGAGATCGCCCACGGCCGAACGGTCGTTCACAAAGGTACAGTACGGGGTAAACGCTCACCGGTGCGCCGGAAGGGTCCCCGTTGTCGCCGCCGCCGAATCCCAGGAAGAAGCGAGACAAGCGAGACCGCTGTCCGCTGGTTTTAAGATAACGGCGGGGGCGAAGTGGCCAATCAAGGAGCGACACGTCGATCTCCTTTGTGCGGGGGTCCGTTACAGAAATCGCCCCAAAGGGGGAGAGGAGGAAGCCACTCACAGTGGTAAGCAGCGCCACCTCTCGCTACGCCAGCGCGGCCGCCACGGCGCGCCAGAACGCTGACGCGACAGAATGTTGAGGGATCACAATCCCCACACTCCCCCCTCCTTAGCCAATAGTCACCCGCAAACGGGTGGAGCAACACACACACACAACAACTAAACTAAAATAAGAAAAAAAAAAAAGAAAAAGGCCGCCACGGGACACAAGAGCCCGGCTCATTGGTCCATGGTCCAAAAGTTCGTACAGCGGTCCCTCACCAGCGGTACAGCTCCCAGCTGCAGTCGATCGGTTGCGTCATCCCGTGACCGCCGCGCACGTGGCGGGTCACCTCCTGAGCGCCCAGGCCGGAGTGGGGCGTCGAGCCCGAAGTGACGAATGTCCCACAGCAGCATTCCGAACGCCCAGGCGTCGGACTTGAAGGGGAATACCTGGAGTTGCACACACTCAGGAGCCGTCCACCGCACCGGGAGGGCGCCCTTGGACACTGGTGGTAGACGCCCGACTCGGAGTCCGTAATGCTCCTGGAGAGGCCGAAGTCGGCAACTCAGCAGCCGTGTCCGTCGACGAGCACGTTCCGGGCGACCAGGTCCCGGAAGATTGACCCTAGACTGCCGATGTAGTGCGTGCCGTACGAGCCCTGCTGGGCGAACTGCGCCAGGTGCCTGGGGCCCTTGGGACTTGTTACGGGACGACGGGAACAGCTGGTCCCTGGTCGGCGAGCTTTCCGACCGCGGAGCGGGTCCCGAAGATGATGAGCGGCAGTCCCTGACCAGATGACGATCCCGACGGCCCACGAAAACGACGGGTTGCTGGTTTGGTCCGCGGCCGGCTGGGGTATAGCGGGGCCGCCTGACGAATCACGCGCAGCTCTGGACCCTGGACACCGCTGAACTGCCGTAGCCAGGAGACAGCAACTCCAGAACGACGCGAAGCAAAGGCTGGATGTCCTCTTCGTAGGTGCGGAACGTACTGCGGTAGAATGACCACTTGGTCTCCTACCGCTTGTGACGACGCTCGCACCGCGCTCTTGCGTTGACATGTGGCACACGTGAGCGTAGGTGGCAATAACTGACCAATGGCAGTTACGCGTACCCTTTCCCTCGGAAGCCGTGTTTGGGGGATTCCCCTACGGGTTCATCGGGGAGCGAACGCTGAGGTGACGTATCTAGGTCACTGCTTGCCAGTAAACAATGGTGTCTGGCGCGTTCGCGAAGGCAGCAGGTGCATTGTGTTTTGCCCTTCCCTTAATGTGACATTTCGCCACTTACAGGGGCTGCCTCTACGAAAACTTCGGATAATAGTTCCTCCGTCTCCGCAGATTGTAGCGAGACGACTGTTGTTCGCTGCTGGCGTCGTCTCGCGCTGCGTGTGCATGCTTCTGCGGGGGCTGAGTTTGCTCGTTGGCCCCGTTTTCCCTCTCATGGTAGGGTTTCAGATCGCACACATGTACCGGCCCACCGACTTTTCTTGATTGCAAGTTTGTCAGCTTGTACACGAGTGGGGAGAGAAGTTCCTGCACTCGGTACGGGCCACACCACTTCGGAGCCAAAGCGGCCGAGAAGCCTTTGCTGGCATCACTCAGAACATGGTTGCGTCTGAGGACGAGATCACCCACTTTGTAGCGGAGGTCTCGATGCGAGCGGTCGTACTGAGCTTTTTGTTTCGCTCGCGCTACCCCGAGATTGCGACGCGCCTCCGAGAAGGCTTCCGTCATCCGAGTTTGTAGCTGCCGCGCGTGGTCCGTTTGCGTCGGCTGCGCGTTGTCCACCCCGGCGCTCGTCCCTAGGACACGGTCCATGGGGTTCGGAAGCTCTCTCCCAAATGTGAGGAAAGCGGGGGTGAAGCCCGTCGAACGGTTGAGAGTGGTCCGAAGTGCGAACCCGATCTCGGGGATATATGCGTCCCAGTCACGGTGCCTTTCCGCGAAGGCGGCCAGCATTGGTTTGATGTTTCTGTTACATCGCTCCGTGATGTTCGACTGCGGGTGGTACGGCGTGGTTGTTCTGTGCTTTATGCCAAGGGCCTTGCACGCGTCCACGAATACCTTCCCGACGAAGTAGCTCGCTCGATCAGTCAAAAGAGCTTCGGGGAATCCAAAACGGGTGAAAACCTCCATGAGCTTCTCCGTGATCGCTCGGGCTGTCAGCTTACGGAGTGGAAAAAGTTCCGTCCATTTGCTGAAGTGGTCAGTTACAACCAGCAAATACTGGTGTCCTTTAGGGCTCCTCGGTAGGGGGCCGACCACGTCGCAGGCTGCCAGAGACCATGATTGCTGGCTCGGAATCGGTTGCATTAGGCCCGGGGGTTTGCCGCCTCTTGGTTTGAAGCTTTGGCAAGAGTGGCAGGTGCGGGCATAACGGAAAACGTCCCGTTTCATGCCCGGCCAGGTGGCGATGCGACATAACTTTGAGTAAGTCTTGGAGCCGCTCGCGCGTCCGGCCAAGTGCGAGTCGTGATAGTAGCGCAAAACTGCGTTTCTCAGACTGCGGGGTACCACTACCTTGAACGCCTCGTCGGAGTCGTTCTCGGAGGGTATGTACCTCAGCAAGAGCCCGTCATTGCTCAGCAGATATGAATCCTCCGTGCCCGCACCAATACCAGATACGTCCCGGCACTCGGCGCCCACTACAATACCAGTAGTGTTGCGCCCGGCGGTCGCACCGCCCGCCTCCACGGCGTCCGACTCTTCTGCGAGTCCGTCGATCACCTTTCGACAAAACGGATCATTCTGCTGAGCTTTCAGAAGCTCTTCTTTGCTGAACACGATTCCCACTGCGCTCACTGCGTCTAGGTGGTTGATCGTCTCGTCCGGGGTGGTCAGATCTGCTGCCTCCCTTTGGGACTGAGTCACGGCTTCGCCTGACAATGTGGATGTCGTTGGCTCGGCCTGGGTCTTTGCGGAAATTTGTGTGCAGTCTACGGGGGCTCGTGACAATGCGTCCGCCACCACGTTTGTGCTGCCTTTCCGGTACCGCACGACGTAGTCGTATTTTTGCAGCATCAAAGCCCATCTTGCCAAGCGACCAGCGGGTTCGCGAAGTCGGGAGAGCCATATTAGGCTTTGGTGATCTGTTTCGATCACGAAAGTAGTCCCGTCGACATAAATGTCGAAACGCCGGAGTGCAAAGACGATGGCCAAGCACTCTTGTTCGCATGTGCTGTAGTTCCTTTCAGCTGGCGTCAACGAGCGGCTGGCGAA